TGGCTCTTACTGTATGCTAGGTCTTCCTGTCAAGTATTTGTGACACACCAATGAGACAGATGAGAAATTCAGGCTTAGAGCGTTTAACTTAGATGCTCTTCAGCTTCACAATAGTTACCGTTTATATGGCTCTTACTGTATGCTAGTCTTCCTGTCAAGTATTTGTGACACACCAGTGAGACAGATGAGAAATTCAGGCTTAGAGCGTTTAACTAACATGTGCAAACTAGTAAGGGGACAGAACTGAGATTCGCAACCAGGTCTTTCTCACACAGAATGGTGCTTCTTTATCCATTATGGTGGTTCTCAACCTTGGCTGCACATTAGAATCACCTGGGAATCTTTTTAAACTCTTGATTTCTGGGCCTCATCCTCTGGAAATTCTGTTTCTTTGTTACTAATGTTGTGGCCCCACCCCATCACAAAGAAACAGAATTTCCAGAGGACGAGGCCCAGAAATCAGGATTTTAAAAAGATTCCCAGGTGATTCTAATGTGCAGCCAAGGTTGAGAACCACTGCATTATGCTCTCCTGCCAGCTAAAAAGGAAAGTGCCTGTAACAAAGTAAGGAGCTGTCACATCTGTCTGACATAATTGTTTTTATTTTCTAAATAAGGGCTCATTATTACATTATTTCACTAGCCATAATGTAATTACAGTCCATTTTAATGTTGCTAATGACTTTCAGTATCTCCTCAAATTATATTACTTCTCTGAAAACTGAGGCCTTAATCCATTGACAAGTTGTTAGAATTGCCCTTTAACTTTTCAATTATCAGCCATTCCACTGGGATCTTTCATCAGCTTCTGGTGATGGCTGGAGCTTTGCACTTTCCCCTGCCCCCTCCCCCCCCCCAAGGTCATTGTCTAATTCTCTTAGGGACCTGATTGCACTCCAGGCAGCATTCTTCTATTACCCATACTTACTGTGTATTTCTAGTATTTTTCTCTTGGCTTTCTACTGAGTTACATTGATTTTTGTCTTCATTAATTCCTCCCATCACTGCCAATTTTCTTCATCCTTTGTTCAACATCTTTTTGAAAGTGTTATTCAATAGGCTTATTCTAGAGTTGTTGGTTTCTCATTCCTAATTTACTTCTTGTTATTTTTTCTTGTAATTATAAGGCTTATTGTATTTTCTCTAATTTTCATCTTCCCTCCCTCACCTTCTGTAGTTATTTTGTTCCTTCTCCGGGGATTATTTTGCTGTTTTTTTCCATCTCGTTGTCCTCAGTTCTGTCCCAGGCTGTTAGGGATCTGGGTTGAGGTACCGTGGAGCAGAGCCCGGGCCAGCTGCCCGGGGAACCCACAGAGACTGACAGAGCCTGGGATTATATAATTACTCAGGGTTACTGCTGATTTATTCTCTTCCTACCTGTCTCAGCCCCCCTGCCAGCTCCAAGCAAGGCTTTTCCCCAGTGCCTGCAAGTCGGCCAGGAAAGGGACAAGCGGTGTCCACAGCATCAGGGATGCATGGTTGGCCTCCGTGACCCCTGGTTTCATAAAAGAGTAATGGGCTCCATTCATTGTTAGACATACTGGGCCTTTAACCAGCCATCTAGTAGTTATTGCCTCAGACCTTACACCCACCCTGCAAGGTTAATGATGATTTATGTTTGATGGCCGGCGAGGAAACTGATGCTCTGAGAGATTAGGAGTCGGGCTAAAGGGCACATAGTTTGTATGTGGGTGCGGTGGGGATTTCACCCCCCTGTGAGTGTGGCTGCACAATCTACAGTTTCTACCCCAGCATATCCTCTCTGCCAAAATGAACTTGATACTTGAGCATTTGGATTAGATCCTTCCTGTCCTCATTAGAGGGTGTCTTAGGTACTGTTGCATCATGCTCCCCAGTGTTACTCATTTCTCCCTATTTGATTCATTAATAATCCCAGTATATTGTTTCCTTTGTTCATTGTATTCGAATCAAGTAACTGGCAAGTCTTGTTCCCAGCTGCCTGTCACAGTGAGAGCAGGCCTACATGAAGGTGTTACTCTGATCTAATATGAAATCAAGGTTATTGATTATTTTCCTTTTAATGAATTCAGCTTTGCTGCTTACAGGGTTTTTACACTGATCCTTTCCTTTTATTGATACTGGTGTTTTTATTCTTAGACCTGTGTCTTGCCTATACAGAGTGTTCTGTTAATATAGGGCTGATTGCAGGTTGGAATGAGACCTTGATAGATTTAGGATATGTCTTAGTTTTATAAAATAGTCATAATGGTTTTTAGTCTGCAATACAAGCTCTTAGATTAGATGCCTGAGGTCCTTTTAGTTGTGTAATTATAGTTTAGAATAAGTTTTGGCTTTATGAGTATCAGAGGGGTTGTGGCCTGTCTTCAAGGTATATTTTTTCTGACTATGAAATGAAAATATATTAATTGTGGAAAATGTAGAAATATACAAAGAATAAAATAACAACCTGTAATCCCAGTTTCTAGTGATGAATGCTGTTGGCCATTTTGGCATTTTTTTTTTTATTCGTGTGTGTGTCTGTTTGTATGTGCATGTTACCATACCTTACATCCCAACACATACACAGTTTTGTATTCTCCTTTCTCATTTAATGTAGATCATAATAAATTCTCCATCATGAAAAAATTCTCATGAACCTAATTTTAAAGGCAATATAATATTTCATAGTATGTGCATGCTATAATGTACTAATCATTCCCCAGTGTTAGGACTTTAAATTGTCTCCAGCTTTATGTGTATATCTTTTAAAAATATATTTTTTTATTGATTTCAGAGAGGAAGGGAGAGGGAGAGAGTGATAGAAACATCAATGATGAGAGAGGATCATTGATCAGCTTCCTCCTGTATGTCCCCAACTGGGGATCCAACACTCAACCTGGGCATGTTCCCTGACCGGGAATTGAACCGTGACCTCCTGGTTCATAGGTTGATGCTCAACCATTGAGCAACACCGACTGGATAATAATTACTCTTGATAAACAAGAAGCAGCCAAGTCTGGCACATAGGAAACAAGTATTTGCAAAGTGAAGTTTCATAGGTCAGCGCTCAACCACCTGAGCCTTGCTGGCTAGACTATGTGGGTATCTTAGTGCATCCATCTTTGTCCAGATTTATGATTATTTCATTTAGATTGATCCTGTAAGTGAAATTAATAGGTTAAAAAGTTTGGCCACTTTAAAGATACGTGATACATAATGCTTGCCAAATTATTTACCAGGGTGAATTTCCATTCCAGCCAGCAGTAGGTAGGAAGCTGGGACTCATTACTCCCATCTGGCATTGTGTGTTTGCGTGGCTAATTTGATAACCAAAAACTAATGATGCTGTTTCAATTTGCATTTCTTTTATTACCAGTGAGGTTGAAAATTTTTAAATCTGTACATTAACGTTTTTACTCCTTAAAAAACCCTCTTCTTTTCATCTATTAAAGTCTAGTATATTTCTTACAGTTTATAAGGGTTCTTTGTATGTTAAGGATATTGATGCTTTCTCTAATATATTTGTTGAAATTGTTTTCCTAATTAGTTGTTGGCTTTTATTTTTTAATAAATTTTTGATGTTTACGTGTGTTTAATTTACTGAATTTATTTGTCATTTTAATTTACTAAATAACATATTGTAATATATAATTTATTATGTAAAAATAAATTTATTAATTTAATGTACTGTTTTTAATTTTTAAGTTTTTCATTATATCTTTTGTATGTGTGCATGATCTCTGCTATAGGTTGAGAACGTCTTTCTCCATAAAGAAAAAAGAGAAATATATTTAACTACATATTTTTCTAACTCCTCTAATATAATTTAAAAATTTTACCTCTGTGATTTATTTGGAATTTATTTTAGAGTATATTTTGAGATTAAAAATATCTAATTTGATTTCCCCCATAGATAATCAGTTGACTCAGCAATAGTTTTGTTGAATAAGCCACCATAAACTTTTGTCATTACTTCATCATGTATTCATATTTTATATATCTTAGAGTCTGTCATATTTTATTATTTGAGGGGTTGTATTTCTTCTTACAGGTATTGTCTAGAACTTACCTAATTTAGCCTTTTAATTTTTAAAGTATAAACTAGAGGCTCGGTGCACAAAATTCGTGCACTGGAGCGGGGGGTGTCCCTCAGCCCAGCCTGTACCCTCTCCAATCTGGGACCCCTCGGGGGATGTCCGACTGCCGGTTTAGGCCTGATCCAACTGCTGGCTCCCAACCGCTCACCTGCCTGCCTGCCTGATTGCCCCTAACCGCTTCTGCCTGCCAGCCTGATCACCAACTAACCACTCCCTGGCCAGCCTGATCGACGCCTAACTGCTCCCCTCCCAGCCTGATTGCCTCCAACAGCCTTCCCCTGCTGGCCCAATCGACCCCAACTGCCTTCCCTTGCCGGCCTGATTGCTCCCAACTGCCCTCCCCTGCTGGCCATCTTGTCACGGCCATCTTGTGGATGACATGGGGCGGCCATCTTGTGCAAGGGTGTGATGGTCAATTTGCATATTACCTCTTTATTATATAGGATTATAGAGTCATTTTGCCAAATTCTTTTTCCTCTCTCTCTCCTGAGCTCCCCCTTCCTTCTCTAAAGCAAAACCAACAAAATAAAAACCCAAAAGGAAACACAGACAGCTCTGGGAGAGCGATTGGAATTGTGTGAAACCAATAAAATGGTTTAGGCAGAACTGTACTCTTTTAGCACCTTTTGAAAAAGGCACTTTCCTTTTAAGCAAAAGCTTCTTAATGTTCTGTATTTGCTTAATCAGTAATTTTGTCTGTTCAGAGGTGGTTGTCATGCATTGATGTTTACATCTTTAAGCATCAAAGATGTTCCAAGGCAGGATGTTGTGATGATAGCCTGCAAATGGCCAAATGTGGCCAAATGCTGCCCTATAATGGCTCTCGAGCTAGAAAGTTTTTTTTACGCCTTTAAAGGGTTGTAAAATAAACCCAATAAGAATATGTGATGGAAACCTATGTGACCCACAAAGCTTAAAATATTTGCTATCTGGCTCTTTACAGATAAAGTTTTCTGAGGGCACCACACTGCAAAACACTGGCAAGCAAACAGGAGACACGCAGACCTCACATGTTAATTGTGAGTCATAGCTTTCACTCATGTACCACCTCTTCAGCACATTGACTGGGAAGGGTTGTTTTTTTGTTTTGTTTTGTTTTTTAATGCGTTTAAGATAACCTTATGTGAGAATATGAGTGAATGCTTACAGGTATTGTTTCTTTCTTCCCTTGTTTTTGCCCTATATTTTTAAATTTATCTTTATTATTGAAAGTATTACAGATGTTCACCTTTTGTTTTCCCATTGGCCCCCTCCACCCCCCCCCCACTCCTCCCAGGCCTTCACTACAATATTGTCTGTGTCCATGGGCTATGCATTTATGCATATAAGTTCCCCAGTTAATCTCTCCCAACACCACCCACCCTCACCTTCCCTGAGATTCTTCAGTCTATTCCATGCTTCTGTGTCCCTGGATCTATTTTGTTTATCAGTTTATTTTGTTCATTAGGTTCCACATATGAGTGAGATCATGCGATACTTATCTTTCTCTGACTGGCTTATTTCACTTAGCATAATACTCTCCAGTCCCTCCATACTGCCTCAAAGGGTATGAGATTCTTTGTTTTTACAGTTGCATAGTAAGTGGTGAAAGAGGACATCCCTGTCTTGTTCCTATTCCTAGGGGAAATAGTTTTAGTTTTTGCCCATTGAGTATGATGTTGGCCTTTATTATGTTGAGGTATGATTCTTCTATTCCCACTTTGCTGACTTTTTATAAAAAATGGGTGTTGGGTTTTGTCAAAGGTTTTTTCTGTGTCAATTGATAGGATCATGCGATTTTTGTTTTCCAATTTGTTGATTTGCAGATATTGTACCTGCCTTGCATCCCTGGAATAAATCCCACTTGGTCATGGTGTATGATCTTTTTAATGTATTGCTGGATCTGATTTGTTAATATTTTGTTGAGGCTTTTAGCATCTATGTTCATCAGGGATATTGGCCTGTAATTCCCTTTCTTTGTAGTGTCTTTATCTGGTTTTGGAATTAGGCTAATGCTGGCCTCATAAAAAGAGCTTGGACGTGTTCCTTCCTCTTGGATTTTTTGGAATAGTTTGAGGAGTATGGGTGTTAGTTCTTCTTTGAATGTTTGGTAAAACTCCCCTGTGAAGCCATCCGGGCTTTTGTTTACTGGGAGTTTTTTAAATTACTACTTCAGTTTCATCAGTTGTTATCAGCCTATTCAGGTTTTCTTATGCTTCCTGATTTAGTTTTGGAAGGTTGTATTTTTCTAGGAATATGTCCATTTTGTCCAGGTTGTCCAGCTTGTTGGAATATAGTTGTTCATGGTATTTTTTTCCGATTCTTTGTGTTTCTGTGGGGTCAGTTGTTACCTCACCTCTTTTGTTTCTGATTTTGTTAATTTAGGCCCTCTCTCTTTGTTTTTTAATGAGTCTGGCTAAAGGTTCATTAATTTTATTTATCTTTTCAAAGAACCAGCTCTTGGTT